TCAGGTCTTTGAGACATCTACCTGGATTGTACTATCAGTCTTGCTTCACTCATTAGCCCACCACTAAGTGCTCTTCCTTATTGTTGATATAAAATGCTGGTCACCAATTCTTGAGCCAGCAGAAAATCATATTCCCATAACATTTTCTGTTTCTACTGGCAATTTCTCTGCTGCAGTAGGCAATGCCAGCAAATACAAGATAGCAAATGGTGCTAACTTAATATACAGAACATGTTAAAGAATGCAATTGGTGGATTCCCCCAGTTTTATTTTCTTCTCCATCCACCAAATATCACGAACCAGCAGAATATGGGATGGATGTGGGACTGGAGGGGGAAGCATGTTTTGACAGACAGCTTGGCACCTATGTTAGTTTAGCTTTTAAAATTAACTCTGTGCAAGTATTTTGGATAGGTGCAAAGTGAACCAATCAACCAAGTTGGATTTCCATATTCAGATTGAGCTAAACATAGATATAGTGCTATGCAGATTACTAAACCTATGTTTCAAATATGAGCAGGTTTGGCAGTGTTCCAGAAGAGCATTGGATCTGTGTTCAACTTGAATAATTGAGAGACATGGAGCCACAGAAATTAAACCCTATCCCTCTTCATCAGTGGTGGGTTGGCCCCGGTTCGCACCGGTTCTATAGAACCGGTAGTAAAACTGACGGGAGGCATGCGCAGAAGAGCATGTGCACGTGTGCAAAGCAAACACACATGCGTGGCTCCATTGTGAACCGGTAAATAGAACCCACCCCTGCTCTTCATTCCCAATTTCATCATATGCCCCTCTACTGTTGGTCAGTTTCTGTCAGGTCCACATTTTGTCCTGCCATTCTGTTGGAAGTGAGAGGGGAAGGACGGCTTGCTGCCATTTTTCGCATACTTTTGCTATAATTGCTTGGGAATTAGAGAGGGGGGTTGTCTTTGGAGATGGAGCAGACTCTCTCCCAGCCGGTTCCAAGGCTGTCATGCTCTGAGAGTGAACCATTATCTGCCTAACACCTTGGAGTTCTCAAAACAACCTTGCGGCATCACATTGGCTGGTGGTGGACTGGTCAGGGGTTTTGGGGATGAAATAATTGCTTTGTACTTGGTGTGGGCTTTATCAGATTTCACCTGACTTTACTGCAACCATACTCTCTCAGTAAAAGTTCTTTTGATTCCGCTTAATGGAGTCAAGAGTCTTGCTTTCCTGAGGAACCAGCTGGGGCAGGTCTTTACAGCTGCAGTTTAAAAAGCTGCAGATCATGTTTCTGTTTCTAATCATGTTTCTGTCCTGTGGTCTCTGATTCTGCTTGTGGACTATGGATCTTGCCTTGTGGACCTTGAACCGTGATTATGACTTACGGATCTTGCCTTGTGGACGTTGCATCTTGTTTTTGGATTATGGACTTCCTCCTCACCTTCTCTTCTGACTATTGGCTTTAATTTGTGAGATTGTGTTGCATTTCTGTGGGAATGTTTGGGGTGCAGCTTTACCAGCCATTGTAGGGCCATTTGTTGTGGGACAGCAGACTAATAAAGGACTTTATTGAAGCCTGCATCTGTCTAGGCGACCGGGTTATAACACAGTTTAACATTGATTTTGTTGCTGCCATTTCTCATACAGTATAATCTGTTCCCCTTAACACTGTTAAACAACGACTTTCCTCTAGTGAAATATATTGAATTAAATAATGACTAATTCTAAATTAAAAATGTGTTGAAAGATGATTTTGCTGCAAATATTGTGACTGAGACACAGATGGATCAAACATGAAAACAAAAACAAAAACTGATATATTACAAAGCAGTGAGACTGAAACAAAAACTTACCTGCCAACAGACTTAATTTTCTTGCTGAATTCCTTTTCCTAAGGTATTCCACACATTTATACAAGTATTTTTAAACCAATATGGCACCCAGTGAAAAACTGCATTGGCTATAACTTCTAAGTAACCAGTTGTAGTTTGAATTCTATCTGTAACTCAAAATATACTGCACAGAAATTGTTCAGTGGTTCAAGAAATATGTGACTTCTGTTTTCTATAGGACTCCAAAGACTTAACTCTTTGAGAATACATTTCCTGACAAGTTTTCTCCTCTCAAACTATTATACTCAGTTACTCTAAATTCTCTCTGCCATATACTGTAGCTATTAAAGGCAAACTATCAACCATATCCAGAATGAGATATCAGAGCAAAATATCCAAATGTAAGCTACTAATAAGTAGGGGGCTACCTTATGGCTCTTCCATTTCTAGTTATTTAGATTGGGAGAAGCCATCTTTGGCAGGCAAAGTGATAGAAAGCCACAGGGAGAAGGCACGTGACAGTGGTGGGTTGCCCCCGGTTCACACCGGTTCTATAGAACCGGTAGTAAAACCAGCGGGAGGCCCTGCCTACCGACTCTGACATCATCAAAATGCTTTTGCGCATGTGCGAGCAAAGCTCACGCGCGCGGCCCCACTGCGAACCGGTAGTAAAGGTAAATAGAAGCCACCCCTGGCATGCGATATATGCAGATGGCAGTAGTTTGAAAAAAAATTGATGTGCATTGTTTTTACTTTTGTCTGTGATACAGGTAGCCTGAATTTACAACCACAATTGGATCTAACTTCTATCACTAAGTGATGCAGTCACTGAGTTCTGCCCAATTTTACAATCTTTTTGCTTTGGCCATTAAATGAAACATTGTGGTTGTTAAGCAAATCATGTGGTTGTTAAGCGAGTCTGACTTTACCAATTGACTTTGCTTGTTGGAAGCTCTCTGGGAAGGTTGCAAATGGCAATTATGTGACCCCAGAACACTGCAACTGTTGTATATACATGACAATTGCCAAGCATTCAGATTTTGATCATGTGACTGTGGAGATGTTCTGCTGGTCATAAGCATGACTGGGTTGTAAGCCACTTTTTTTCACTGTCATCATAAGTTTGAATGATTGTTAAATGAATGGTCGTAAGTCAAGGACTACCTGTATGTCAATTTTAAGGCTTAGACTTCAATTTGCCACCTCAGTCTAGCAGGAAACTATGTTTTTCATGAATCATGACCATGATATGTCAGTAGGCCTGAGGATGCCAGGGGAGTCTGAAATTTTAAGATGGCTCCATCATTATTTTTCTGTGCCTGGTGGTTTATGTATGTTTAAATTAATGACTGTTTTATATTTTATAAGAGCTGAAGTGGCGCAGTGGTTAGAGTGCAATACTGCAGGCTACTTCTGCTGACTGCTGGCTGCCTGCAAATTGGCAGATCGAATCTCACCATGCTCAAGGTTGACTCAGCTTTCCGTCCTTTCGAGGTTGGTAAAATGAGGACCAGATTGTTGGGGGAAATATGCTGACTCTGTAAAACCGCTTAGAGAGGGATGTAAAGCATTGTGAAGTGGTATATAAGTGCTATTGCTATTGTTATTGCTATTTTGAATGATTGTTTTTATGTATTTGTTTTATTTCATTCTGTTATGCTGCTCAAGGTCACTTTTTGTGAGGTGAGGGGAAGGCTATATAAATATAATAAAAAAAATTAACTCATAGAGCCATAAAAAGGAGATAGGAAATATGCAGCGTAGATATTTCAACCTGTTGTCAGAGGAGCAAAATATGAAGTATCTGAACAGAAATGAAAACACTTATTTTCAGTGGACTATGTGCACTTTTTGCAGCCTGTAGCAATTACAAATGAAGGGGGAAAATCTTTCTATTTTGATCAGTAAACAATTACATAACTCTAGGACTCATATTTGTGAAGAGAGAGAAACCAAACATCTTTCATCTAATTACTTTTAGTGAAATTGAAACGTTTTCCCCATCCATCACATTGACATAGTTTAAATTCATTAAATCAGCATATACCCTCTCATCTGTTTTAAGATTATTGCAAATGGTAGACTGTAGGGCTTTATAACTCACAGTAACAACCTTCCTTCCTTTCTTCCTAGTATAAAAAAATGTGCATATTTTTCTATATATATTTAATTTTAGACAAGCGTTCACTTTGAAAATTGTTTGAAAACAAGTAAGAATTTTGGAGACATTTTCATTGGTAGCAGGGTAACATTTTTGAAGTTAATAAATACAGGGTAACCAAAAGGTGTGTAGGAATATCTTGACTTTGATGTCTCCAAAGTTCAGTCTACCTCATTTCTGACATCTCTCCCACTTCCATTGAATGCCCGGGAAAGGAACTTCCTTCCTTTCCAGTAAATTTCCAGTATAAATAATGAGTATTGGGAGATTAAACATCTCCAGTAATGAACTAAATGTATTTCATTAAGGAAAGGCAGTCACTTAGTTCCTGGTGAATACATGGACATGTCCATCTAATCGTTTTGGTAATAATAATGAAAGGATGTGTTATTACTTTCTTCCAGGATATCTGTGTATTTCCTTATCTATCCTGTGTAGTCGGTCTCCTTTGGTCTAGAGGTATGGGATGCCTGGTACTGTCTCCCAATCAACTACTAACCAGGCCTGATTCTGCTTAGCTTTTGAACCTAGACAAGCTGGACAGCGGTGACACCTGCTGAGACTTATCAAGTTGTCTTGTTCTGTATAGAATAACAATCAAGTTAGAAACAGAAGCATACATTGGTGGAGATGATAGATTACAAAAATGCAGAAATTATGTTCTTCTAAATATTAGGCTACAAATGCCAGCATTATCCTGATTAAGTAGAATGAATTGGAATCCAGCAACATCTAGGAGGTCCAGTTCTCCATTCCTAACATAAGAGGTGTTGGGATGATCGGTATCTTCCAGTCTTATTCTACATGACTATAATCATGAGGGATACAAGACCAGTTAGATCAAACTAAAGGCTCATGTTATTCAGCGTATTTTTCTCACAATAGGCAATCAAATATTTCCAGGAAGCTCACCAACAAAGCAAATCATAATACCGATAAATCTATCTTGCTATATGGGTTTGTCAGCACTTTACTTCTTTTCCAATGACTCTGATTGTACTTTTAGTAGCATCCTATCCCCAAATTAGTGCATCGTAATAGAAGAAGTACATCCTTTTAATGTGTATCCTGAGTTTACCATCAAAGAATTTTATTGGATGGCAATGAGAACAAGGTGTGGAGAAGGAAATGGGAGAGCAGGAAAGGGAAGGAAAATATTTATACCATCCTATACATCATGCATAGATTTGTTAAGAGTTGGGAGTGCAAAATCAGCCATAGAGAATTATGTAACATGATCATGACTTGTGCTCCAATCCTTCTTCAGCACATCAGCCATTACAATCTCTCCTATTTATCTTTTATCAGCTTTGGATTAATTTGAAATCTTTCTAGGTTATGCTGGTAGCTTCCATGGTTTCCATCAGACAGACATTTATAAGGCAAGTTAGAAGTTCTTTCACAATCTCAGTTCTGTGGAAGCCACAAACATTATTTGTTATAACTTTACAATCAGTATTTCATTTCTTTGGCAATCTTTGAAGATAAATTATGAATCAGAACATTGAAATGTCTGGGGGAGAAAACAATACTGAATATGAAAAAGTTAACATACAGTATGGAAATATTTGGTTGCATGTAGACCCAGGATATGTGGTGAAGATTAGCTGCAGCTACTGAATGTCAGATGAAATAAAGCTGTGTTTTTAGAAGTATAATTTGCATATTTATTAGATTCCAAACTTGAGTTTCCAGCCCAAACCAGGTACTTGGATGTCTGCCTGTAAATTACAGTGTGGGATGTGGGATACTAAGACTATTATTGCCAGTACAATACTCAGACAGAAAAGCTTATGTTGATGAATCTTTCTTTTGTTGCATTGAAGGAATGGAATACAGATGGAATCTTAAAACTATTTTGTCCATTTTGCTCCAGATGTCTCTTGGCAAACTGAGATTTGAATTAGTTATAATGTATACTGGCTTGGAAGAATGCTGAAAATCCAGATGCATAAGGTCAGTGCGTATTCTGCAATGGCTCAGTAAGAGGTTACTCCATACATGCTTTTGGAACAGATCACTTTTAATGAATAAATCCATAATGGTGTAGTTAAGGGTTTTGTTGATCATCTTGCTACCAACATGCCTTTTTTCTGACACCAGATACAGTACGTAAGTCTTCAATTCCCAATCATTCAGTAGACTGGAAGGATGTTCCTGGTGAGATCTTCATCTCTCTGGTAAACTTCACTGAAAGCATCAGATTCTTGGCTTGGGTAATTCTCAGAGTCCTCCGGTTCTTTCTTGTCACTGTTCCGCACAGCAGCTTCAAGGGCCTTTTGCCGGCGGTAGAAATGGGAGAACTTATTGAAGATGATAGTGATAGGCAGTGCCACAACCAAAATCCCACCCAGGATGCAACCAGAAGCTGCTAGCTTGCCGGCGACAGTCACTGGTACCACATCCCCATAGCCTACAGTTGTCATGCTAACTGTCCCCCACCACCAGCAAGCGGGAATAGTGTCAAAGCCAACTTCTTCCTCCTTTTCTGCAGTGTAGGCTATTCCAGAGAAAACAGACACCCCAACAGCCAAGTATAGGAGAAGAATTCCCACTTCTCTGTAGCTATGCTGAAAAAGAAAAGATAAAAAAGAAAAGAATATGGAGGTAGGTAGTTAAGATCAATAACTAAAACTAGTATGAAAAGAGACCTCATTGTTTCAATACTGGGTTGTCTACACTTTTGAGTTTTATCTCTTACTGTTTCTATAATATCAGACCACAGTTGACTAAGATCATGATTGAAACTTAGAACAGAAAAATATTTTGCCTTCGCACGTTTCCAGTGATCTCTTTCATAAAAAAAAAAGCACGAAACAAAAGTACTTTAACACCAGCATTATTTATCAATTTTCTTTCAATGGTATGTGCATAAGCACATCTGGATTAATGCCCTCCAAATGCTTGGACTGTGATTCCTATTACCCTCAGCCAACAACCCATGCTGAAAACAATTGAGGTTGTACTCCAACACATTTGTATTGGGCATAGCTAGTGTTCATTTATTGTGGCGGGCAACATTATTCCAGAGTTCGAGGAACAGATTACTTGTAGGCAGACTCTAAAACGTCAGCATTCAAAATAGAGACTCCTTCAGTGAATTGCAATAACAAAAGGAAGCCAGGAGATCTTGCCTATGTCATCAATTCTGTTGCCATACCACCAACATGTCAGAGTCGAAATTGAGGGGTGGGGGAAACAGATAAATTACAATTGACTCACGTTGTCTTTGCAAGGAAGAATGGCATACAAAATAAGGTTTAAGCAACTTCTCACCATGTTTGACATGTACTTACCACTTCATCTCATATAAATATTTTTCTTAGTAGTATGTGTAGTTCCATCTTTACAATGTGACTACAAAAACATACTTAAAATTATTTATTAAATTCTTCCTTGAGTACTTCCCATATAAACATAAGTATACAACAGAGCTTCAGCATGTGATATCACTGTTACACAAACTGCACTGCTTGCCAGCTTTCAGGAGCCCATTAAATTGGGGGTGACTGATGGGTTAGAGAGGATTCTCACCCCCAGACTCCCATCATCTTGGTTTTTAATTTTGATTTTTAAATTTTTGTTGTATTTTTTTGCACTTTATAACTTTTATTATATTGTAAACTGCCCAGAGTCACTGTATTAGTGAGATGGGTGACACAGAAATCCAATAAATAAATAAACAACAAAGATCAAAGGTCAGTGATCTCCAGACAGAAGTTACTTTCTATACTCTATCCATTCCTATTACTTTCAGCCCTGAAGAGCTGAGTTGTAATATAAACACCGTTTTTTTCACAGAGTTGCAAGTTTTATAATGGTAATATTTGAAATTACTTGCCGTGCGTGAGGGTGGCTGAGATTTTTATAGTTTAGCTTGTTCATCACTGCTGCTCTTTGCTTTGAAGGTTTACTTGGGAGTAACCTTCAACAAATTTATTTGGTCTTACTTTTGAGCAGATATGTATAGGAGTGTGCTATAATTCTCACTTATTTAAGTGCAATTCATTCATTTTAACTGAATGGAGGATGGAGACCCATCTGCTCCCTACTGCACCACTTGATATATTCTTCTCAAGCAAGGCAACTTTCCAGATCAATGACCTTTTTAGCATCTCTTAGAATATAAAACAAAGTATTTTTCTGTGCAACATTTCTGGGATGAATGCAAACTCTCCAGATAAGAGAACTTATTAATGCTTTGATGCTCCTTTGGTTCCCAAGAACAGAAGGACAGAATGTGGCGATGGCAATAATCACTCTAATATCTGCTTTTAAGGACAAAGGTTGTTGCTGAACTCTAGACTGACGCCATCAGTCATATCTCAGTTTGTATTGAGTCAAGATCTGCATCTGGAGGCAGAAAGTCAGATGCCTTAGTGGCAAATAAATATCTTTCATTAGCCTATTTTATAGGTTTAAAGCAGACATATAAAACGGGGATGTCTACTCAGTGCCTTCAGAATGCAATATGATCCTTACACAGCTGCAACTAAAATCAAGATATGTACTGATTTCAGATTTAGCATCTATAGTTTTACAAGGGATAAATAACTGAAGAACAAATGTGTTTCTGTTGTCCCCTTCCATGGCCTTCCCCTTTTCCTGGATCAAATCTGGCAATCTTTCTCCTGGTCTATCCCTTTTATGCAATGTGATTGAATATCCAGAGCCAGTTCTCAGGACACGGGATCAGAAGCAGCAGCCCTTCCAAGTCCTGAGCCAGACAGAGGTATCAAGCTTCTTTAGTTGCTATGGTCCCAAACAAAAAATTATTTATCACAATTGTGCTGTCATTGGAGATTCCTTTCTTTGTTGTTGACAAGTAGTCCGTCTTCTGCCTTCCTTGCTTTCCCTGTAGCATAAAAATCACAACCACCATCAAAGCATGTGATTAGGGAAGATAGAAGAAGCTTTTTAGAAGAAAGCTGCAATTATCCTGGCAAACCATTCTCATAAACCCTTCAGCTCCAGGCTTCAATCTTAACAGGGTTTTAAGAGTCACAATCTTAATTTGCTTTTTTATTTACATGCAGGCATTTCCTTTAGCATATGTATAAGAAATCCAGGCTCAGAGTTGATTGTATTTGTAACTTGCAAGACCTATTTAGACAAAACCCTGCTATTTGTCCAAACAGATACCAAACTATAATTATCCTGAGGCCCAGCAGGAAGATTGAGACAAGCTGTTGCTGGAAGTGAGGCTGTTATAACCAAGGCCATTGACAAAAGATGCCAAGATGATCAATCAATGTTAGGCAGGCATGGTAGGTGGGAAATGGAAATTCCTTTTCAAAAATATACAAGGAGCCCAACAAATGCAGTAGATAGGCTCAATTCAGAGCAGAACAAGGACCGTCAGAGCTGGCTATTTATAGGCATGGCACAAGTGACAAATAGAAAGAGACAACACAGTACAGTCAGACACAAAATGAAGCCGCCAAAGAAAACATGAGACATGATAGCAGTGTTCCAATATCTCAGGGGTTGCCACAAAGACGAGGAAGTAAAACTATTTTCCAAAGCACCTGAGGGCAGGACAAGAAGCAATGGGTGGAAACTAATCAAGGAGAGAAGCAACCTAGAACTAAGAAGAAATTTCCTGACAAGTTAGAACAATTAATCAGTGAAACAACTTGCTTGCAGAAGCTGTAAATGCTCCAACACTGGAAATTTTTAAGAAGATATTGGATAACCATTTGTCTGAAGTGGTGTAGGGTTTCCTGCCTGGGCAGGGGGTTGGACTAGAAGACCTCCAAGGTCCCTTCCATCTCTGTTATTCTATTCTATTCTATTCTATTCTATTCTATTCTATTCTATTCTATTCTATTCTATTCTATTCTATTCTATTCTATTCTATTCTATTCTAAAACGACAGCCTATAGACAGCCTAGGCAGTTAAAATGTATTCATTAAAAGTATACGTAAGAAAGAAGCAGAGAACATGGTTAAACTGCAAGAAGGGAAAATAATGTAACTAGCTAAGGGCTAGGAAGTTTAGTGCTTTGAATAAAGAGAAAATGATGTGCACAAAGGAATTAGGCACAGACTGAAATGTGCAGTTTACACTTGAATAAAATGGATTGCAGGCTTCTGGATCAATAATACATTTCCCATTTTTTAGACAAGCCATAACATTTATTTTCATCCTCTCACTTCACTGGCTGCTTGAATCGCAGGGAAAGCAATAAACCAAAACATTCTTACAACATTAAGGCAGCAATAAGAAATGCACTGCCCAGGAAGCAGATGCCCCATGCATGCTGCATACTCTCTACTTTCTCTACCAAGAAGCCTGTTTTGATCTCAATATAACTTGCCAGCAGCATCTCCAGCACTCCTGGTGTCTCTACTGAAACAGTTTGGATTATTTGATGAAGCCAAGCATAATATATTAATTAGAGTTAGCAATTTAACTCCCTTTGTTTCTTTATGAAGCCGTTTGTTAGTAAGGGAAGGAAGTGGGCTGCTCACTCCTAGCCAGTGGTGGGATTCAAGTAATTTAACAACCGGTTCTCTGCCCTAATCATTTCTTTCAACAACCAGTTTGTCAAATTTCTCACAAAGTTAACAACCGGTTCTCCCGAAGTGGTGCGAACTGGCTGAATCCCACTACTGCTCCTAGCCCTATAGAATCAAAACAAACCTAACATCAAACCAAAGTTCTCCTCTTGGCCACCTACTACAGCTGGATCATATGCAAGTTATCAGTGCCAAGATGATTGACTAGGTCTAATCAAGATTTTGTCTTACTTACTGCAGGAAGGAAAGCTTCCTTCAAATGAGCCATTGATCTGATTTGTACAGTGCCCTAGTCTATAATTTGTTTAACAAAGGTTTATTAAAACTGGATTGCTTAAGTTCATATTATAAGCAATATCACCAGCATGTGTTTGTCAGCAAAATGACTACGTTCATACATAAAACTAAATTATAGTAAAAAAACCACCATAATTTTGCTCAGTGCTGGGTGTGAATTTAGTTACTGGAGAGAGAAAAGAAGAAAGCAAAGAGAGCATTTCTGTTGTTTGGGTACTTTAACAATATGTGACAGTGGTTTGGGCAACAAATTATTACTCAAACACCCACATCTGTTTCCTCTTTCTCATATACCTCATACTCTTTCTCATAATCAGTTCTTTTATCCAATGCCTCATATTTCACGAAACCTTTGACTTAAAACCTGTAATTCAGGGATAGGCAATACAATGTCTTTTGAGTTACAACTCCCATCAGCTTAGTTAACATGGTCAATGATTTCTGACAGCTGCCCTTCAAAGCATCTGGCAAGTCCTTGGCTGCTTACTTGAACTTTAGTTGTAAATAACAAATGAGATATTTAGCTGTATCTAGCTACATTTATGTATGTTTATGTTAAATCTAAAGACTTAAACTAGTCATAATGCATTTTCCAAACCGTAAACATTACCTGGTTCTTAAAAGACAAGAAGATAACTCCAACCAGGTCCAGAAGAAGAGCCTTTTCTGCTGTGCCCCCCCTCTCTCTGGAATATTTTCCTAGCAAAGATAAGATCTGGGCCCCACATTCTTGGTCTCCTGGAACAGCCTA